ATTGCTTTCATTGACCTTAGTAGTGCTATGTGGTAGGAGCACACTAGATGATTTTTTTTAAAGGATATTATATAGAAGATTTAAGCCATACTGTCTTAACATGGAGCCTAGACTATGCTTTTGGGGCTATAGGAACCATCTTCTAGTTTGTGTGCTTAGCAAGCATGGTTCTGGTGTGAGAGGGGCAGGTGTTATTTTGGCCCTTGCCATGTCTAGTCTCTTCCTTGCTATCTTCATCTGCATGATGCTCTTTCTTTCCCTCAAAATTATTTGAACACCCAAGTAAGGTGATGTATGTTGAGGGTTGATCCATACACTTGTTTCCTGCTGCTTTCTAGCATTTTCCTCTCCTTTGTCTCACACACTCTGTCTCCTTTGCATAACCACTCAGCAAGCTGCTGGGACAACATATTAATGAACGCAGGTGTTTAGTGCAGAGATGTCTAGATAGCTGAGCCACTCACCAGGTGCAGGAGTCTTGTGCTGCTGCATTTCCCTTTTGAAACATTAGAAGGTAGACTGAACAATCAGCAGTGTGTGGTAGGGAGAAGCCTTTTTAGATTTTTGTAGCATAGTCATTAATAAGTAACTTCATTTACTGTGTCATTAGTATAACAAATTACTTGTGTGTGCATAAATGACAGTTTTACTTATTTGAATATAACTGGTGTAAGAGGATGGTATGAAATTCTCTTTCTGATTGTTCTTTCTCTTGTTGGGCGTGGGGCTACTGAGGATTGAACTCAGGCGCATTCAGCCACTGAGCCACATCCTCAGCCCTATTTTGTATTTTATTTAGAGATAGGGTCTTACAAAGTCACCTTTGCTGAGGCTAGCTTTGAACTCGCAATCCTCCTGCCTCAGCCTCCGCAGCCACTGGGATTACAGGTGTGCACCACCCTGCCTGGCTTCCTTTCTGATCTTAGTGGATAATAGAATGAAACTGGTCACATTATCAAGCTCCTTCACTTTGTAGACAAGAAAGCACAAAAGGCAAATGGTTTGTTACATGCCTAGTTCTTTGCAGAGTTGCACATGTAATCCGTTTTGACTAATTCTGAATTCTGTATTCCTTCCCCGTTGAGCCTCTCTCTTGTCTCTCACTAACCTTGGCCTTAAGGTTAAGTTGTCATCCAGTCCTGCCACACACACACAGTTACCTCGGCAACTTCCCATGTGCCTTGATCCCTCCTCTCCCCCCACATGTAGCATAGTGACAGTATTACATCATAGGGTCCTCCATTTTTCAAATGATGTTGTGCACACAAGTTTTTGTGTTTATATTTTTCACTGGAGGTTGACCTATTCTCAGCCTAAAGTAAATGATTATATATTTATGTAATAATGTCATGTATATTCTATTCATTAATGTTTGTTATAAAAATCACAATATGCAGATTAACAGAAAAATTAAAAGCACCCATAACACAATTATCCAAGATAATCTGGTTTCTCTTGTACATTTTTTTCACTTAGTTCTGACTATACTTTCCATCTGAAAAATGTAGCATGAAATCCTGTATGTCAGTGATCCACTAAAACAAAACACTTTACATTAATAGTGAAAGAAGTGGCCACAACACAGACAATTGTTTTTTGCTTTGTTTTAAGAATATAACTATAGCATATGCTATTTATGTGTACCAACCTGCATATAGACCTCTGGAGTCATATTCATTTTTCATTTTTACAACTACTTTATTACTTCTTCATTCCCTTTAAACTCTAACGTGAGCTATATGTGTATCTAACAGCAGTTTCTTTTAAACATAATGAATTGTCCATCCTGAGGACCTTGAAAATAATCCTGACCTAGTTAGAATTTTTTAGGGACTTGGAGAACTCTTTGATTCACAATCCTCATGATTAAGCTTCAGAACCTTCTTAGTCCAAAGAAGGCTAAATCACCAGGAGTAAGAATGTTAAAAACCAAATTGTCTTATTTTATATCTCCTCGCTCAGAGAAGAGTGATTGACAGGGCCCTCGCTGGAATATGCATCAATGTTCCAAAGTTCTAGCCTGGCTTGTCTTTGCTTTTGCTGCTCCTCATTTTGTGTCCTAAGATGAATGCTTAAAAAAGATTAGCTCATGTCCAAGGAGTTTTGTCTTCAAATCGAAGGTTATTACAGTAATGGTTCTGCTCCTCTATTGATTGCTGAATGCGTGTTACTGTGAGTTCAGATGGTTTTCTATTTTTGAATAGTCTTGGGTAAATTACAGGAAACTATTAAAGATTTCGAGTCCCTTCCCTGGTAGAGGGCTTCAGGCAGGGCTTACTCAGACTATTAAGAGTTGGAAAAAGATGGGTGGAAGCCCTACACTGAGGGCAACTACACAGAGCCACAGCTGAAAAAGTATGGTCCAGGCAGTCCATGGAAGGTGGCCATACCCAGGTGTAGGACACTGGAGACCTGTGAGCCAGGAGAGGAGCTCTTCAGAATGATCTAAAACAGGGCTGCATCCAGGTGGTCTCCTTTGTTGAAGGATACTATGCTGGTGGCTTAAGCTCCTTGTAGGATCCTGGGCAGATCAGGCAGAAAACAAAGTTAGGTATCAAGAGTTTGAGTTATTAGCCGAGAGCAAGATTTTCCCTGAATGTTCTTAGTGATGCTCTTATTTAGGGAAATGTTGTTCATTGGAGGGCTGTTTGCTTCAGCACTTGGAGTTACTGCCAGTGTTGGCTTTCTTCCAATCCTGGTAATCAATCCTCTTGAGGTTTTAGAAAGAAAGAAAGATGCTGTTTTATTTTCCCCCTCTCCCTGTGGGGTAATTGGTTTACGTATAATTTAATTATTTCATTAACCAGTTATCCTATCACTGTGCACAAAAGCAGCCTTAAAAACTCACCCTCCATTCTGTGCTGGGATGTTAAGGATCGATTTTTCCACCATTCTAAGTGAGCACATGTGTAATGGTGACATTTCTCCCTAAAAGCTCTGTCGAACTGACTCTATTTTCTGTATTTGTAGGAATGCCCTTGGAGCCTTGCAAAGTAGTATGCAGTGATTTAGAGTAAGAAAAACTATGATAAATGTTCCTCTTCAAAGAGGAATTACAGTCTCCAGGGTTCCTTAGGAAAGACATATTTTAGATCACCTTGGAATGTATTTTCATCAGAGCAAATCTTGGAATATTCTCAGGACAGAGGAGGGAGTGTACTCTACTTTACCAATATGGGTCCCACTAATGTGTCTCCTTTTAGTTGATTTCCTTTATTCATAGTCTTGTTTTTATCTTTCTCCATCATGCTCTTTAAGGGGAAATCTTTTATCCTGGCAGATTGCTTTATAAACCTGGTTATTTATTCAGTTGTGAGGCTTATTTCAAATCTGACCCTGCTTGCTTGTTGTTTGTGTGTGGTTGAAGGTCTCACAGTCAGCTCTGCAATCTATCTGAAGCCTTCCTATTATAAATATGCTTTATAGGGATGTTTTATTGAGTCCATTTACAAAAATTTAATTGGAGCTAAATAATTCAGCCCAACCTGAGAATAAGAGGTACAGATGTGTGTAACGCTGCTGGGACCAGCTCGGCTTCATCTCTCGCAACCTCTTTTCTGCCATTTTTCCTCGTGTTTTTTTTTTTTTTTCCTCATTTGTGGAGTCCACAGATTGCCTTTCATAGTCATATTGCTGAAAGGTCCTAGTAATTAGATCATGAGCCTCCAAGGCAAGTTAGTATTTTCTTTCTTTTTTTCTTTTAATGAGTAAAAATAATTTCAGCTTTTCTGATGGGTAGTGTTTTTGAGTCTCTGAGGTCACTCACAAGTATAAAGTCTAATTTTACTCCATAAGAAAAAAAAAAGAGAACATTGCTCTTTGCCTTTCTAGGGGTTCCGCCCTCCCCTGAGCCTTGCTGCCCTCGGCTCACTGCTTTCAGATCATTTGCAGTGGCAGGTGGCTTTATGCAAATCAGGCCAATTATTTTTGGTCATAGTAAAAATCACCTTGCATTAGGAGTAACTTCTAGATTAGTGAAACTGACATGTTTCTTTGAAAACTCACCCAGACCTACGGGGCAAAGTGTCTCATTTGACTGCTCTGCTGACCCAGGAAGCTCCAGTCCCCACCCTCCCACCCCCACCACAGTCCTGCAGCTCAGTGTCCTCTCCAAGGACATTTCTCACTGTTAAATTTTGTAGGTCCACGTGTCATTAAAAAAAAAATTATTCCAATGTCATTATTTACTAGCAAATGGGTAATAATATTATCTTGAAATTTTATATCTGTTTTAGGCAGAGGCCAGACATCAACATTACTCAATCATTTCTCATCTTTCCTTTACTAGAAATGATGAATTTTTACAGAATTTTCTTTGGAAACCTTTAGTGAAGTGATCCTATAAGATCTGGCACTTTTTTTACTTTTTGTTTTCCTCCTCTCTACAACTCTAAACTCTTGAACATTGAGAAAAACAGTTCATGGACTCTTATTAAGATCACCAAGAATTCTCCCCCCACCCCTCTATTTTTCCTTCCTTCTCTTCCTTACCTAATTTCTCGAGACAGTGTGATGTGAACAGCCAGAAAATGAGAGAAAGCCCTCACCAATTTGCCTTAAACTATCAGTTGCTGAATTAGATAGTAAACTATCTAATTCTCCCATGAAGGAGTGAGTTCTGTGACTCAAATGCCATCCTATGTCCTTTGTGTACCTGCCACAGCAAACACCAGATCATTCCTGTCCATTTGCTTAAATGGTCACGGAGGTGTTTTTACATTCACATTTCCCAGCAGCATTGCTTGAGTCTTTCAACCTTCTCCTTATAAGACCCCACCATACAGAAATGTAAGGAATCAGTCCCAGTAGAGTACTAGGAAAGACCCATATAAACGGTCATCACACGCTCCTTCTGACCTTTGCTCATTATTCCTGCCTACGTGGTGCTATAGCTAGCTAAAATCCTGGGAGCTGGCTAATAATACCTCCCATTGCTACAGTTTTCACTGTGTGCCAGGAACTGTTCTGAGTGCTTTGTGCCTATGGTTATCCATTTGAAGATGAACCAGCATACTTACTGTGGAAGATTTATGTTTTTCAGGTTGAAAATTGGTGTCCTCATTTACCTTGGAGAGCAAAAAATCCCTACGAAGAAGCTGATCATAATTCATTGGTAAATGATTTTGGAAAACTCTTCCTAGACGAGTGCATTTAGGTCAGATGCTAATTGATAGATGTGGAGTCTTTTAGAAATGCCAGCTGTAATCTGAAATAGTGTTCAACAGACGAACTTCTGTCACTGTTCTGTGGGAGTCTGGGTGACCAAATAAGTCAACCAGTTAGCATAGATTTACTTATTAAGCAATTCTCCGAGGGTCCTTAAGTGATGGACTAGTGATTGGGATGAGATCAGGTGCCAGATGTGGAGGCCCTAGATGATCTAATGAGGGGGATGGTTGTAAATAATTACCATGTCTGTCACTGTGCTTTAATGCAGGCCGATGGACATTAATGAGGTGGAGGCAAGTCAGCCTGCAGGGGTTGAGGTGGATTGCATAGAGAAGATGACATCGAGCTAAATTTAAAATGTTGTGTTTCTATGAGGTCAGGGAGAAAATGATGTCTCTGATATGTGGAAGTGAGCACTCGTTATTATAGAATATGGCTGTGTGTCACAAGGCCAAAGAGTTTGTGTGAGCCGGGTTGAAGATGAGATTTGAAAGGTAGGAAGGGGATCACGGACAGTGGTACCCCCTTCAAAGCTCAGGCCTTTATTATTTAGGCCAGGGATCAGCAAACTTTTACTAATATGAGACCAGATAGTAAATATTTTTATATTTGCAAGCCATTTTAGCACAGAGTAGCCATTTGACAGTATATTAATCACAGGGTGTGGCTTTATGCCCGTGAAACTTTATGCACTAGAAACAGGCAGTGAAGAGCACTGGCCCTAGGGCCAGAGTTTGTTGACCCTTTCTGTGGACGGTGGGGGCCTTGGGATATTGTCAAGGAAGGAGATGAGTGTTTACAGTGAACTCTGGCAACTACTGAGAGATGGATTCAGCAAATTTGAGGTTTCCTGTGAAATAAATACTGGTATCATCATGTTTCTCTGTTGTTCCACGCATGAGTTGTATCCAATCATATTATGTAGAATAGGAAGGAAAATACTCTTCCTGGGTTTAAGATTTTCTAGTCTGATTTTCAAATTGTATTCAGCTGTGGTAGGGGATAAAAACTAATATCCTAGACTTTTAAATTCCCTAGAAAATAATAATTTTTTAACTGGGATGAACTAAAAGATGAGCATTTATTCGGCCATTTAACTGTGTGGACAGAAGGAGCCTCTCTGGCAGCCAACAGGATGTTGAGTAGCCTGGGCAGGGCTGACTTCAGTTTTTCCCACGAGTCTGCTGCCTTGTAACAGATCCAGGTGGCACAATAAATTTCAGCACAGAGGATTTCAAGGTACATCACATGTATTCATTGTAAAAAGTGCATTTTTAACATAGCCCAGGGCTTTGCAGCCACAGTGCCACTTTTCTAATTTTTTAATGATGTCCCTTATAACAGATCAGCAGTCAGGGGCCTTCGCTTCAATTTGCAGTGCTGGGGACCTACCACTAAAAAGCTGTGCAGCAAGACAAGACTCACTTTTGAAGCCCTGGATTTAATTGACTATCTCTTTCAAGTTTTCAAATGTCACATCACGAAAACCATTATGCCTTCTGACTTTTTATCTTCTATTCATTTTATTAAATTTCCATTTCTAGGCGGAAATTCGTACGGATTTTAATATTCTCTACAGCATGATGAAAAAGCATGAAGAATTCCGGTGGATGAGACTCAGGATCCGGCGAATGGCTGATGCGTGGATTCAAGCAATCAAGTCCCTGGCAGAAAAGCAGAATCTTGAAAAGAGAAAACGGAAGAAAGTGAGTTTCTTCTGAATTCACTTCAGTTAGATGCCAGTTTTCTTTTACAACTTGGTTTTGCTTGGAAACAAGACTAAGAGAAATGTCATGTCTCAAATGATCTTCCCTCAGGGTGGATCAGCTCTGCCTGTTTTACAGTCCTTTTGGGGGGGTTTCTTTCCCATAATACTCTCATTTAGCAAGGACTAGCACAAAATTCTTGGATGAAGGTAAGCAACATGTCTGCCTGCCAGATTTTCCTTTGAACCACCTATTGACTCTCTCAGGATAAGAGGAAACTTTCCCATTTCTTTATCTGAGTCCAACCTTTGAGAACTTAGTATTACATCGTCATGGCCACTTCTCATTTTTGTTGTCTGGGCAACTGGTGAGTTCCACTGCTATGCTGTTTGGTTTGGCACTTCTGCCTATGTTCCTGAGAGATAGAGCTATGTCCCTGAGATGCTTGGAAACCTAGAATGCCCCTGGGCTTAGAAGCTCTTGTGCCTTATTGGTTATAGATTAAGTAAGACGACTTGGGATTAACTGTCCTGAGTTCAGAACTGAGCAATGTGTGAATGGTCTGTTCCTACATCTAAAAAGAACTTCAAAATGAGTTTAGTATTCCTAACTTGACTAATTGGGTATCTTTGAAAAAGGAAATACAGATACACTTTGTAAGCCCCCAAGTCATGGTTTGATGGGGCCAGTTTTGTTTGAATCCATTAGGATGGCAACCTCAAGCATTCTGGCACCAGACAGGCTTGTATAGAAGAACATGTAGTCAGGTGCTGCAGGTGTGCTAGAAAAAGAAGTACAGAATGATTGTTTTGGTGTTTTGGTTTTTTAGTTTGTTTTATTCTTTTTAGATACACATGACAGTAGAGTCAATTTTGACATACAAATATCAAGTATATTTTATTCTAATTAGAATGCTAGTCTTGTGGATATACATAATGTAGAGATTCACTGTGGTATATACATGCAAATGTATGTACATAAACTTCCTATTTCAGATTCAATTCCACTATCTTTCTTATTTCCATCCCCCCTCCCTTTATTTCCCTTTGTCTAAACTATTGAACATCTACTTTTCCCCTCCCCTCTCTTGTTGTGTGTTAGTATCCACATATCAGAACATTCAACTTTTTTTCAGGGGGAATTGGCTTATTTCACTTAGCATGAGAGTCTCCAGATCCATTCATTTACTGGCAAATGTCATAAAGTCATTCTTCTTTATGGCTGAGTAATATTCCATATATATAAATGTACCATATTTTCTTCATCCATTCATCTGTTGAAGGGCTCAAGTTGGCTCCACAGTTTACCTGTCAGGAATTGAGCTGCAGTAAATAATGATATGGCTACATCACTGTAGTAGGCTGATTTTACAAACCTTTGGATATATATACTGAGAGGTGATAACTGAGTCAAATGGTGGGTTCATTCCTCGTTTTTTGAGGAATCTCTATACTGCTTTTTAGAGCGGCTGCAACAATTTTCAGTCCTAGCAGCAATATCCAAGTGTATCCTTTTCCCCACAAAAAGCTTACCACCAAAAAAACCCAAATAACCCAATCGATAAATGGGCAAAGGAACTGAACTGACACTTTTCAAAAGAAATAAAAATGGTCAATAAATACATGAAAAAATGTTCAACATCTCTAGCAATTAGAAAAATGCAAATTAAAACCACACTGATTGTCAGAATGACAATTTATCAAGAATATAGGTATCAATAAACATTGGCAAGAATGTGGGGAAAAGGGTACACTCATACATTGCTGCTTATGTAGTCCTACGGAGAAATCTCCAGGACATACTGTTGTTGGGTAAAGAAAAAAAGAGGAGAATGACATGCATTATTTTTTTAAAAGAGAGGGAGTTTTTCAAATATACATGTAGATCTATACATACACACATGTGCAATACATAACATATACATGTTTATTGTTCATAGTTTTACAAATTGGAAAATAAACTATAATACTAAAACTATAATAGGTAGATGAGGCAGTGATTGCATAATAATGTGAATCTTCTTAATGCTGCTCAACGGTGTATACTAAACGGTGAATTTGATGTCCTGCATATTTTACCACAATGAGGGAAAAGTGGCTGAAAGGGGGACTTCTGACAGCAACAGGAATAGAAAGTAGACTTCTCTGAGAATATATCTTACTTTGTAGTTTTGACACTGGAACCATTTAAATGTGAAAATATAATTACGAAAGAAACCATACCTAACAAATCATAAAGAAAATAATCAACTGACGCTATATCCATTCAGTTTTGATACAAGCACACAGAGGGAAAGATGATTCTTGATGCCTTTAGAACACAATAACTTGAACATATTTAATGGAATATCCCAGAGGCCAAAAAGAACCGCAAAAATATTTTTAAACAATTTTTGCAAATCATATGGTGTTTGGAAGTATTGATATTCTCATTCTGAATCCATTGTGAATGTTAGAATACTGCAGATGACTATGTTGGTATCTTTGACAGGTGGGCTTTCATTGTGGGAGATAGGAAATAATGTGTAAGATGAATAATGTTATGTAAAAATATTACAATCCTGTGTTTGATTTGGAAATATCAATAAGAACTCATGATTTGTTTTATCTTAGTGGAAAAATACATTTCCTAGTTAGAGCCGCTGAAAAGTCCTCCAAATGGTGATTAACTAGAGTCTCTTAAGCCCTAGACTTTGATCTCTAAATGCTATTTTCACTAGGTGGTATAAGAGGTTCTTGGAAAAATTACTTATTAAGTTATGAGACAGAAATTGAGCTTAGAACATTTTATCATATTCAAGAGCAGAGAAGCTACCTTGAATAGCCTCTCACTGGCCAACATGGGACAGTTTGGTAGTAGGATAATAACCAGAATTTTTTGAAACAAATTAAATATTGTCGGAGACCAGCTCCAACAGGGGGTCTCAGGAGACGAACGGATGGTGAGGAGTCGGCGAAAGAGGGGGTGGAGAAACAACACAGACACCAAAGTGAAGGTGTTGATCCCAATCTTTACTTGTGAAGTTGATCATATATACTTTTCATTTTGGCAGGCTTACAGTACTTTGTGGTTACAAAACAGTAATCATTAT